CGCGCGGCGGAGGGCGGCGTTGAGGTCGGGGGCGGGGGCAACGTCGAGGTCGGGGCCGGCATCGAGGTCGGGGTCAGGGGCGGTGTCGAATCCGGGGTCGGGGGCGGCGTCGAATCCGGAGTCGGGGGTGGCGTCGAGGGTGTGCGGGGAGCAACGGGAGAGCACGCGGCGGCCAACGGGCGACGGCGGCGGCAATGGGGGAGGAGTTGGGATTTGGGGGAAGTGGTCGTGGGGAAGAACGAACCGCGCGGTTAAGTCAAAAGTAGTAGTAGGGCTTTCCGGGAAGTGCGCTACTGCTAAGTTAGCTATAGCACGTTCCTCGATACACGCTACCGCTACTCCTTTCTCTTTTTTCCCTTTTTCATTTATTTTTCTTTACATTTTATTTTTTTTCCTTTCTCCTTTTTCTATTTCTTTCATTTTCATTTACTTTTCTATTTGCTTTTCATTTAATTTTATTTCCTTTATCAATAGCACCTTTCTGCGTAAACGCGATGCTACAAAGCATGTAGCGGTAGCGCTGTTCGCCGTAGATCGCTACTACTATGTGTAGCCTATCGGCTAAGCAGTGGGAATTTTAGTAGTAGCGCTTTTATGTTCATGTGCGCTACTGCTACAATTGTATCTGTAGCGTGGTTTACGCCAACGCGCTACTGCTACTTAGCACTAGCGTGGTTTTTTGACACGCGCTACTGCTAAAGTTCTATGTATAAGGTTTTCCCTAGTCGTGGCCTCATGCAACACCACAACCCCTTCCATAATATATCTCCCTTTTATGAATGTTGTCTGGTTTGGAGAGATTATTGGCCCAATGACTTTGCTGAGTCTATTCATTAATACTTTAGTTTTCTCTTGAAACTCACATGAAGTAAGCATATTGGTCTGAATTTCTATATTTGTTTGGCATCTTTAACCTTGCGGACTAATGTAATAATTCTGTAATTTAACCTAGAAATATCCAGGTTTCCAGAATGGAAATCATCAAGTAAACCCTTAAGGTCCCATTTAATTAATTCCCAGAAATTCTGGTAAAATTCTACAGGTAGACCATCTGGCCCAGGGCTTTTGTTTTTCTCCATATTGAAAACCACCTCCTGTAGCTCATGCATACTAAAGGGCTCAATTAAAATTCTAGCTTGTTCTTCTGAGATGCCAGGAGCATCTTGAATGTTTAAATTCACAGTAAAGTTTTTCAGGTTGACGAAATGGGTCTTTATAGAAATTTGTGATGTATTTAACCAGTTCCTCATCCCCTTCAATACTCTCCCTCAGTCTGGCTTAGGGAGAATATTCTATTTTTCCTTCTCCTCCCATTCACCTTAGCATGGTAATACTTGGTGTTGTTATCCCCATCTTTGATCTCTCTATCTTTGTATTTTTGTAACTATTTTATTTCTTCTTGCTTCACCAGTCTCCCTAATTGAGCTCTCAATTCTTTTTGTTCATTTCTGTCACAGACAGATAATCCCAGTACCTCTGCTCTTTTATCAATTTCATCTAATTTTCATACCCTCACTTTTTGTCTAAACAACCTTAATTTCTTTTGCCATCTCTCTATGTTATTTCCTACAATCTGTACATCCCACACTTTATGGACAAATTCCTTGAATCCTTCTTTGAGCATCCAGGAATTTTCAAATCTAAATATTGGTGTAGCATTTATCTTTTCCCCAAAATCCACTATCAGTGGAGTATGATAAGATAGTTCTCTTTCTAAAGCTTGAACTGTAGTTAATGGATAATGTTCTTCTCAATCAGGGCAGATAAGCACCATATCCAGTTTTTATAGGTAGGATCACTCTGATTATTAGCCCAACTATATTTTCTCCCTCCCGGGGCAGCTCCCTTAGACCAGCTTGTTCGATAATGGCATTTAAAACAAAGCTCCAATGATCATTGCAGGTGGGTTTGTTTTTTCATCACTCTTTCTAATGATATTAAAACATCCCCCTATCATCATTGGCAGGGAGGAGTTACTCTAATAGACTCTAGACATTTCAGCCAAGTAGGCATTTTTGCCGGTGATTTGTGCATCTCCGTATACCACTATTAGATTCCAGTCAAATTTGCATTTTTTATCAAACACCAGAATTCTAATAAAATAAATCCCAATTTCTACATTAACAATGTCAAAGTTATCACAATTAACCCCAACAAGTATCCCCCCAGATCTCCCCCTTGGTTGGGACCATTTCCAATCAAAATCCCCCCCCCCCACACACACAAATTGTGTAGTTCTGTCTTAGAGAAATTAGCTTTAATAGCTTCCTGGATGCCAATAAAATCCAGTTTCCTATTA